AATATATATGTACAAAGTTACAAACCTTAACAAGCATTGGTATTGATTTACCAGCCCATTGAAAATCTTGAAAAAGTTAAAATCGAGAATGGGTAGGGTTCCCTTAAATATTCCTTATTACCTCCATACATTCCTTGGCAATATTTGGTTCAGCATGTATCGTTATCAATAGGATTTCCAATGTCAATTTATTTGTTGTTTTCCAGTTAAAAATTTGCTTACTATCATTTATAATATTCTAAATCGTCATAGAATAAGTATTGTGTAAATATGTTTCATAAAAATATTTATTCGGCTATGTGCTGCATTTCGAGTTTGCTCGAATGTGAAACATTTTCCCAAATTTGGTGTGCTCCATTCCGAATTCCCAAAAAAATATTGGGAATATACGCCCATGTGCTGCTTTTCGAGTTTGCTCCAATGTGAAACATTTTCCCAAATTTGGTGTGCTCCATTCCGAATTCCCAAACAAATATTGGGAATATAATTCGAGAACATATAGCCTTGTGGATTGAAAACGAAATGAGATCGTACGTGTTTTTCTGAGCACGTACAAGTTAAAAAATAACTCTGAAGTAATATTTAACGTGTTTTTACAATATTTTTTTTTAAATACAGTATTTACATTAGTTTTTATAGTAAAATTAAAGAAAATAAAAAGGGCTCCTTTTATCAAAAACAGCGCGTAACATTTTTGAGATCAATACGGCAACTCAACCACCATATGATCAAAATAAAAATAGAATCTATAAAAAATCTACTTATAAGATTTCCAATAGTCCTTTATTGTGTGTGTGCACTTTATTATATCGATGTTGACAAGATCAATGCTCCACTTGTTTATAGGGCGTCCAAAAATGTTTCTAAAGCGTAACCACTGTCTCCTAGAAGCCAACTATTTTGCATACCATTTCCTCTTTTGTTAATGCTGCCTAGCTGCACTCATATGCCAAATAAAAGCATCATGGCTGGATCCTGGTCTGCAGTTGTCCACAGCTTGCACACACTTTTTCTTCCAGGACTTTCATTACTCTCCACAATATTTTACATATTGTTGTGCGATCAACACTTATATTTAAATCATTTACCACTACCCTCTGAAACCCACCAACAGCCAGAAATCTAAAGGTACCTGCTAACTGGAGGCTTTCGGAAATGGCACCCTTGTGTATGAAAGGATCCACTTCTCTCAAAATATCCCTAAATGGTTATTTTAGCACGTTCCAGTATCATTAGACTTTTTTTCTGGTAGAAACCAGGGCAATTAATAAGCCAGCAGGCATATTTTTTCTTAATTTTGTTGGTAAACAAATTGCAAATTCCAATGAAACATATGTTTTTTTATTGAACACATTTCGTAACATATTGAACACAGCTATGCTTTCGAGCCGCACTTTCGCTCGAAATTGAGCACACCATTTTGCACAACATGGGAATTTAAAAAAGTATGGGAATTCAAAAACTCTCGGAACATGTCACATGGGCGATTACTTATGTTTTTGTAGTTTATTAGCGAAATATTTCGCACAAAATTTCATCTCATTCTCCTACTCCCTATAATCCAGAATACCTAATTTTCCCCAAAGCGGATTTTTTCGCTTTCGAACTTCATTCAAAATAAGGCGAAAGCGAGAATGTGAAAAAATTCACAGGAAAATTTTGTTCAGATTAAGCCGAAGGGGAAGAGCGGGTAAATTCACATGGAATTGACATCCAGAATAAGGCTGAAAATGTCATTGGAAATCCTATTGATAACGATGCATGCTGAACCAAATATCGCCACGGAATATATAAAGTTAATAAGGAATATTTAAGTCGAGTTTGATGCATTTTTGAGGAGAAATACAGACATTTTGGGTGAGGATCTGTCTCACAAGAAAAAAATTTTAAAATTTATGGAAAAATCAAATTTGCCTGATGAGCCGCTTAATAGTGAAAAGCTTAAATAAAAATTATGAAAGAACAAAAATAATAAGGCTAAAAAATATTTTTTTTAAAGTTATTATTTGCATGATTTGAAGAAAATAATAAAGGAGTAGGAGCAAATCATAACATAACTGCCCACTTTAAGACGTGGGAATTAAAAAAAAAGGCACACAATTATGTAGTGAAATAATAAACTGTGAATTAATTAATTCAATCGCAGATTTCTTCCTATTATTCGTTGTGTTTTTGCCATCATAAACAAATGTTCTTTTATTTGTAATCTTGTATTGTAATTGTTGCAACAAATTACATCAAAACAATGAACAGCTGTTTCACGTGCCATATTGTAGGTTGCCATATTTTCAAACTTTAATTTATTTTCTTTTAATTACAAAGCATTTATACAGCGTATTCTTGATATTTCACATTTATATTGTTATAAAGTTTAAATAACAATAATAAATACTAACTTTTAATAAAAAAAGCAATAAATAAAATATTGAAAAATATTACACAATTAAATTACAATGGGGCAACACACATTGCAACTTAAATTACAATATGGCACCACACATTACAACTTAAATTGCAATATGGCAACACGAATCTTTTTTTTCAGCCACCATTTTCGAAAACTCGAATCCGCATCTCGCATTTTTTGCATCTCCCTATTCATTCAGAATAAGAGTCTAAACGCAACCATAGAGTCTAGAGTCAGCGACAGTCGTTTTCCGTGTGTTTCTTATATGCAACGGGAAATCGCGACGGCTGACGTTCGCGTCTAGCGGCTTGACGCTAGAATAGATTTAATTCATTTTTGCTCAGCGTCATACTCAAATTTTCTCTCTTGCTCTCAATTGAGTTGCCATATAAGGTAAAAATCAACAGTGCTACCAAATTTCGATGAGAATTTTTAACAAAACATATGGCAGTGCTGTTAAAAAAACAAATATTTTCAAAGATTGTGGACGTTTTTTTTAACGAATTAATAATAAAATGGAAGAAAAATAAGTTTTTCAATAATTTTATCCAAGTTCCTTGACATTATTGTTTATTAAATAATAAATTGATTTTGGTTTGCACAATGTAAAATTTTCTGTCAGAAAATGAAAACAAATAATTGACATTTTGTGCCGCTAACGCCAACTCTTTCGTTTGGTTTTCACGCCGGCGAAAACGTATGACGCTGACTCGTGACTCTCTGGCTGCGTTTAGACTCTAAGGCGAGAATGTGAAAATGCGAGATATCTCCCTAGCAAATATCCAGAATAAGGCTGAATATGTGTCGACCATACCATTCAATACCACGCCTAGGTTAGAAGCGATGCTACGTATCATTAATTTTTAAGGAATCCATTTCAATTGGTTGTTTCTTTCAACAAATGTGAATGCAATTGTTAGTCTGTTGTTGTAGGAATAGATTTTCAAAGTTGAAGAAATTAAGTTACTTCTTTAATTTTTTCCCTGCTATGGTGAAGATTTTGCTTTATGATCGAAGTTCAAATGAAGAGGAATGCCAGTGAGATCCCACACATTCATGATTATCAGACGCGTTTCGCCGTTTATTAATAACGTTGGTGGGCAATAACGTTAACAGCGTTCTCAAACGTATCAATTTTTATTCCCCCGGCCTTTGTGTATCCCCTTTTACTTATTGCCACTAAACAAGTGATACGAAATTTATCCCAAAATTAAAACACATTGTAATTATGTTTTCATATAATGAAAGAATTATGCAAAGAATTATTTGCATATTTTATACCATTTATATATATTTTTTGTTTTGTTTTGTTTGCTTTTTGAATTATATCAGCTTGATGATAGTATTATAATAATAATGTTTGTTATCATTATTTGTAATTGTTATCGATTACGAATAAATTTATAAAGTTATAATATTATATATTACTAAATTTGTATGTTAAAGATTAAGAGTTAGGGATTTAGAGGGGGTATGTGGCCATAATATTTATAATATACACATGGATTACTTAAATAAAAAGAATATAACGTAATTATGTTATCAACTACTATATGTACTATGCAATTCTTTAAGAGAAAAATATCATATTCCAAACAAAAAGTAGTAAAGAACATGAATAATAGGGTTTCTTTTCGTTTTCTGATTTTACATAGAATGTAAACTAGGGAGGATGTTATATATATAGTGAGAAAGAGGGATGCTTAACAAAACAAAAAAAGATAACTAAATGGAAAAAAACTAAAAATAATAAAATTAAGATTAAACAAAATATTACATTTGATGTAATACCTTGATTTGTTGTTTTCTTTTATAAATGTTAAAATTAAACATATTTACAAAAGGGGGGTGGTTGTCTTCTTTTTTGTATGTGTGTGTGATTTTTTAATTTTGTTTATATATCTAAGCTTAATAATAGTTATATTTCATGTTTTTGTTTGTTTGTTTGTTTCGATATTTGTTTTTAAATTAAAATAAAAAAATTACATTTTTTTTTTTTTAAATAGAACTATGAACAAAACTTTTATATCCCAGAGTTGTTGAAGTGTTTTTTTTCTATTTTTTGTATTTAATTTTGTAGTGATTAAATCTCCATATTAATTTCCGAATAATGTTACTTCTCTTCTTTAAAAAAATATTTCTTATTTTTTGTAAAAATTTAAGCTAAACCAAGTCTGTATATGTAGAATTAGTAAAGAGGAGAACTTATTTACTCTTTCTTTTTTCATTCATTCATTTATCATATCATAATAAGCGTATTTTGGCGATTTTTAGTTAATTTTTGTTATGACAATTGTCCCATTGTTTTGGCTACTTCCACGTCTTCTTCTTCGTCTTTCGTTTTCACATTGAGCCATGACATACATTTATATTTCATAAGAGATACAAGGATTTAAATATTAAGAGATGAGAATGAAAAGAGAAATGTCTAGGATAAGGGGAGGTAGAACAAAGGATTATTTACAGTTTCCCCCAAACAGAGGAAAAGAGAGTAAGTGAGAATTCACACGACATAGAAAGTGTAAAAAGAGAGCTTTCGATGATTAATATTTACACCAAGATGATAACCTTCCTCCTCCTCCACAATGTGATACTAAACATTACTGTGTCCAATTGCCGTGGTCGGATATAGCTCCTCTGAATATTTCGGACGACATTCAGCACAAAACCATTTACCCTGTGGAGCCACCATAATGCCCACACACTCAAAATGAAACCATTCGATTAGACAATTCTCACCATCACAGGCTATCATTTCGGAAACCTCGTCGTAGGGACAGCGACAGTAACAATAAACCGATTCACCTTCTCGGGCCTGTCTAGCGCCGGCCGGTGGCCGTATGGGATAGCGAATATTGTTGGCCTTAAAGTATTGCAGCGTTGCAAAGTCAGGATTTGGCAAGAGGGCAGGTGGTATTTTGTGATTGAATGCTTTCGTCTGGGGTGATGGTGGACGAGGTGGTTGCGAGGGCAAGATGGGAGCAGTTGCCGAATTATTGCCAAACTTAATTTTGGGCTTGAAGCCCACCTTCGATGTTGTAGGTGTGTGCAAATTGGGCGCGGTTGTGGTCTCATCATCACTACTGGTGTCCGAGGTATTGTAGTGGTCCACTTTGGGCGCTTCATGGTTTCGTGTGGTATTAAGACCTATTTCAGAGGGTCTAATTTTTAGCGTCGGTATGGGTGGTAGTTTTCCCTCTCCTTTCTTCTTCGATGGCCGTTTACGTGCTGATTTGTCACCACCTGTCAATGATAGGCGCGATTTCTTTTTACCACTGGATGTGCCGGTAAAGCTGCTGTTGCCAAACAAGTTATTGGCAGCACTGGCTGGGGTTTTTGGTGTCTTATGACTCTTATTCTTGTTGTTGAGTATACTCTTCGAGGGTGTGGGTAGATCTTCTTTGCGCCATGTCAACTGCGGTGGTGGTTGTGGCTTGAAGGCTCGCGAGCCAATCATCAATGGTGGCCCATTGGCAATATTCTCATCGTCACTGGTGTAACCATAGAATTTATTGGGTCTTCTGGCACGTTTGGATCGCTTCAGCGAACCATCGACATCAGAACAACTGCTGCCTTCACTCATGCGATGATGACCAGCACCACCACCGCTAGCACCGCCATATGGTGGCATTGTGATGGGCCTGGGTGTCAATGGTTGTTCATTGGAGTGCATCAACACTGGCGGTGGTGGGGCATAAATATTCTGAGCTGTCACAATATTGGGATGTGTTGGATAAACCACCGGAGCCATAGTTGTGGGTAATGGCTCCATCACAGGATTCATCAAAGATGTTTGAGGCATAACACCATGCGTTGGGTTAATCAAATCTTGATTTGCCAAATTAGTATGTTTCGTAAGAGGAATTTGCGCCGGCGCAATTTGTTCTGTGCTATGGCCATGACCACCTTTACAGGATGATTTGCGATCTCGCTTCTTCTTTTTCACCTTGATTTTGGGCCGCTCATTGGAGGCCACTTCTTCTGGCAATGATGGCGTTGAGGGCCTACTATTCTCCACAATATCAAAGTTATGCGAAGGCGATAACCTCGTTTGAGCCATAAGCTGAGCTCTTTTCTGGGCCAACAATTCTGTGGCCAGTTTTTGTGGATGTTCATCATAGAACTCTTCATCGGTTTCTGATTCATTCGTTTCCAAATCACTCTCATAGATCAACGGTTCTTTTGGTGGTGACGGTGGCCTAACTTCCTCTACTTTCTGTTGATCTTCTTCATCTTCAATGTTTATAACATCGTTCCCAGAATTTTTGTTAGGCTGTTTGAGTGGCGATGCACTTTCACTGCGCTTGCGCATACGATCACGTTCTGATTTTTTGCGATGTCTCTTTCGAACGGATGCATTGGATGCAACCGAAGAATCAGTTTCTTCAGATGAGGATGATGATGACGAAGATCCTGAATTGGATGAGGAACATGAACAGTTGGAGCCACAAGAACAACTGGAGTCAGAATCTGAGCTTGAATCACTTGAGGAGGACGATGCATCGGATCTTCTAGATGTACGTCGAGGCGATTTACTCTGCTTTCTCTGTTTAATGGGAGATGTTTCAGGAGTTGAGTCAATGTCTGGCTTTTTGAAAATGGGCTCCTTGGGTGCTGCAGGCGGTGGAGGCGGTGGTGGTAGTTCGTAGAGTTTGCAATAATCATGATCTGATAGAGCAATGTGAACAGGGCCATACATAATGCCATTGTTGTTTTCTTTGGGTTCAGTTGATTTTTCCTTTTCGCCATTTTGATTTTTCAGGAAATTTTGCCAAATTTCTAAAACTTTACCCGGTTGCGACGATTCATCTGGATTAAGATTTCCCGTTTTGGATGCCTCATCACCTTCTGTTTCGGAGGGTGGTGATAACATTACCCTAGGCATGGCATCTATTTCACTGCGGGTCTTCGAATCGGAATCAGAATCATCACCACTAGAATCGGTTTCGGAGAGATTGGGAGCTGCGAAATTCAAATCCTCCAATAAATCCTTACGCCGTTTACTCTTCTTACGTTTCTTGCGGGGCGTATCTGCGTCTTTGGCATCATTTTCTTTAGATCCTGTGGTTTCTGCCTTTGCTTCGCCTCCAACTTTTTCTTCCTTTTTGTCGTTAAATTGATCTGGAGTTTCCATTTTGAGGTTGCCACCATCTTCCTGTTCATCCACATCCATTGGTTCTTTCTTTATGACAATATCTGGCTTTATGTCTGTGGAAGTAGCATCCGTTTTCACATCCGCATTACTGGAGTCCATGGCAAAATTTTCCTTGCTGTCTTCAGATTTTTCTGGTTCAACAGGTGGTGGTGGTGGTGGCAAATGTATAGCTGCATGTTTGAGCAAAAGTTTCCTTGAAATGAATTTCTCCTCACAATCATCTTCAATACAAGGATAACGGAAATCTCCCGAGTGTATGCGTTTGTGGACCCTCAAATACATGGCCTTGGAGAAGCAAAGATTGCAAACCTCACACACAAATGTTTGGGGTGGTATACAAAAATGATAAACATGTGGCCACTTCTTCTGCAAGCATTTCTTGCAGATGGTACTCTCCGTGCCATGCTTCCAAAACAAATGCTTCGTAATGTCCAATTTATTGCGGTAGGCAATGCCACAACGGTAACACAAATGATGCAGCTTGTGCTTCCATACGTGGGAGGACAGTTTACTTTGATCACGACAATCCTCCAGACACACGTCACAGGCAAAATGCTTTTTACGCAAATGCACCATAAGACGAAATGGTGAGGGTATATTCTCCAAATCACACAAACAACAACGAAACTGGACATCAAACACGGACACTTTATTGGGAGCTCCAGGGCAAATGTGGCACAGGATTTCACTGAAGCTAAAGAAGTTGGCACGACACATGAAACACAGGATGGCGGTGCGCAAATGCATTTTACGATTGTGCAAATAGAGTTCCTTGTGCGTTGAGGCCACTACACGACATTGGAAACATTCGAAAATACGTTCATTGAAGGGTTTGGTGAATGCCCCATTGCCCAGGGTACAATAGCTATTGGCATTGAAATAATGATTCTCCAAATCGGGAAGGAAACTTTTCAATTTAGCCACTATGGTATCGGCTTTCAATTCCTCTGCCGTTATGCTGTCAACAGTGGCCGTGAAACGATGTTCGGCAATCATATGCAGTACTAAACTTTTGCCATTGACTGCAATGCGCCGGGCATGATTGCAGTACAGACAAGTGTGGTAGACTGTTTTCAAACAGATTCTAACAAATTCCACAATTTCATATTTATCCAAAGGTTGATCCAATTGCAAATCTAAGGTTAGCGTATCCTCATCGGCAACTTCAATGCCATCTGCTGGTGGTAATTTTACAGGTTGTTGCAATTGTTGATCATTCTCTGGATGGGATGTTGTTTCTAGAGGTTTTGTAATGGTCTCATCTGGTTCCTTGGTATCACAAACATCAATATCAACTTCTTCTTCTTCCTCGTCTTCTTCGGCATCTTCTTGCTGTTGTTTGAATGTGCTTTGAGGATCTTCACTAGTAGTTTGCTCTGTGTTCGCGGTACTTTGAGTTTGTGGCAAAGATTCGGAATGTTCATCCAATTGCTGGGATTCGGTATTTTGTGATAATGGGAGATTGGCTTCTTCCTCCTCCTCGTCCTCTTGCGATTCTTCTTCCTGTTTTTCTTGTGGCTCTTGTGAACGAATTTCTTCTTCTTCTTCTTGAGTGGAATTTCCATCATCATTATCTGTTGTCTGTGTGGTTTCCATTGTTTCATTATCCGCACTTTCCTTGGAAGAATTTAGCTGACCATCACCACTACCGGGGCGTTTGGATTCCTCTCTGGAAATAAAAAAACGAAATGTATAAGTACTACTATAACAAGAGGTGGGGAAAATATCAAGCTTACCCAAAAATAGTCTGTGTTGGTTGGGCTGTAATGGTCTCATCAATGTCCATCATATCACTGCCAATGGTATCACGTCGTTCCTGAGCCACATGTGTGGAATTACTGTTTTCATTGTACATTGTTGAGATTAATGATGTGTTAACGACTGCCTGAGACAATTGTGGCATCTCGTCCACCTCCGATTGACTTGTGGTGGGCTGCCTTATCAAAGATTCTTCATTTTCGGCAAATCGCTGACGATTGAATGGCTCATCACTTTGTGATATCGTGGCCCTACGCGGTGTAAACCAACGAGAATTGGGTGAGGCTGGTGGTGTTGGCGACCAATTGTGATCAGCTGTTCTTATACTACTCTGCGACAGGGTTGGCTGACGTGGCTCCACAAACAGCTTGTTCTGATTGTGACGGAAGGAGGTTTTCTTGGTACGTTTTATATCCTTTTTGGTGCGTTCAATCTCCTGCATGATACGTACCAAATTGGAATTCGGTTCATCCAATGAATCATCATCGTCCTGCGATAGTGAATGATGTACAGTTGCCCTACTTTCCCTACCACTTTCATTGTCATCTTGGGAGTTGCCAGCTTCAGTGGCAGATTCAGTGACGGAGTTTTGTTCGTTGTCTTGAGAATTGGCAGGGGTGGTTTCGCTAAGCATATTTTGCATTTGCTGTTGCTGCGTTTCTCTAATTGTCTCGTCATTTAGGGAATTGTTGGTGTTATTATTACTACTATTGTGGTTGTCCTGCTCTTCATCTGCCTCAGCCTCAGCGTCATTGTCATCATCGCCATCTGCCTCGGCTTCTTCGCTTTCCGAAGAAGAAAGGGCATCATCCACTGGTTTTTGAAACTCTTTGGGTACCCGCAGTTTAAATTTGGGCACCACAAGTTTAAGTGGAGGTACTTTTTTAATTGGACTCTCAACTTCGTGTTTTTCCTCCTCCTGCTGCGGCTTCTCCTCGACAGCCACTTCATTAGGTTTTTCGGTGTTAATGGCAGTTGGCCTATCTGGTGGCACCTCAATTTCCATGGGTGTTGTTCTAAACTGCCGCTGTTGCCACAAGTCATTTGAGGCTGGAGTTTCTGTAACAGGCGCAGGTGGAACATTTGATATTTGCAATTGTGGTTGTTGCTGCTGTTGTAATGTTGGCGGTGCTAATGGAAGTTGATTATTCACATTACAGGATTCATCGATGACCATATTACTGCTACTGTTGCTATCTTCGCTATGCATAACATTTGTTGGAGGAGCTGGTGGTCGTTTAACAATACGGCCACTATCACAGTTCAAATTGGAATTGGATGATGATATTGTGGTGGGAGGATTTAATGGAAATTGGGAACCAACTGCTTGTGTGGTGGGAGGCAACAAGGCGGGAACATTGAAATCCATTGGAGGCCTAAGAAAAACATTAGATTAGAAATTTTTATACAAAACATACATAGAGTATCTTCAACATACCTTTCCTGTGCCTGTGACTTCTGTGGAGAAGGTGTCTTCTCCTTTTTCTTCTTTAGTTTGGAAAAACGTTTACTATCCGGATGGGCCTTACACTGATTGGTATGCCGGCCTTTTTGGCCACACAACGCACACGGCTTGATGTATTCCGAGCAGTCGTGTTGCGAGAATTGATCCTGTTCCTTGAATACATGTTCACAGGTACAGCACATAAGAAAACGCGTCTCCAATGGATATCCCTCCATTTGTGGTATACTTTTACGCAGAGATTCCTCAGAATTGAAATGGGTTTGCTCCAGGTCATGTTTGATTTCCAAATGCAATGCCAATTTCTCTGCTGTGGGAAAGAAACGAACACAATACATACACATGTGTCGGTTGTGGATTTCCCGAATGTGCAGAAATAAATTCCAATTTTCATGAAACGTATTACAGCTGGAACATTTGTAGAAACGCTTTTTGCTAATTACTGGAGCCGTGGTATTGGCTGGCATTTCTCCCAAGGGCATGGTTGTTGCCTTAGTTGGTTCCAGGGTTAAGCTCATGTTGGTATTAGGAGGTGGTGTGCATGCTGCAGGTGGTGGAGTTGTAATTTTTGCAACTGGCGGTGGAGCAACTGGCATGGGAAATAAGCTGTGCTGCGACAGACACATTACTTGATGTTCGGTTAAAGCTGCTAGAGAATCATAGCTCCCAACTTTACATTTGAAACAAAGATATTTTGTTGTTGGTGTCTTGAGCACAGCCGGAAGAGGGTTGCTGGGATCTAAAGAAATGGGATTTGGCTCTGATATTGACACTGGTGTTGATAACAAATCAGTTGGTGGCAAAAAGGGAGGAACAGCCTGTGGCATCAAGGGTGGAGATGTTACACCCATGGGAGTGGTGGCTTGAGAATTGCCTGTTGTATACACTGATTGATTGCTAACATTGGGCGCCATGATGGGTTTCTCCAGTTGCTGTAGTAGCAAGGATTTAAAAGCAGGTTGTGGCTGTGCAACAGGTTCCGCATGCTCTTGATGTTCATTTATTTCGGTTTTTATTGCCAAATTAAAATTATCAATCACTGCTTCCGGTTGCCTATCATGGTAAGGGAATTTTACAGAGGTACCATTTGTTTCAAATCTCTCGGTTGTATTCGAATTTTCTGTAGCCATTTGAAAATTTCCTTCTTCTCCGTATTCTTCATTTAAATGCAATTGCTTTTGTTTGGGTTCTAGAGTATAACCCCCAACATCATCACTGCTGCGGGATAGCTTACGTTTTAGACAAATTTTAAGTGGCTTAACTTTCTCTTCCTTGGCTGTCTCATCCATAGGATGATCAATAACCAATTGCTGGGATGATGATGTTGAGTAGGATGCTGATGAAAGCATTGAAGCACGACTGGCCTCATCATCGGGATTAGTGGTAGCCAGAGGTAAGTGTGAAGGAGATGGGCTATGTGGTTGTTGTTGTTCCCTAAACAATCGTGGAGATGGACTTTGTTCCATTTGTCCTCTCAAAAACAAATGTTCTCTATTTTCATTATTTTCTCCCATGTTGTTGTTTTGGGTTTCTTCATTGATTTTTAAATTGGATTCATTATCCGAATCATCATCTGAAGAATCACTCATATGGCTGTTATCACTTCGATGTTGGGGTTCGGTTGCTGGAAATTCAGGCATTTCTTCTTGACTGTTTTCGTTGTGAAAATCAATTCGAGCCTCCTCACTTTGTGGTAATTGCAATGAAGAGGCAGGGGACTTGTTTTGAGGAATATCTTCATCATCAGCGGCGTCAGCACTTGCTGTAGACATTTCCTTTTGATAGTCGCTAGTGTGTTCTTCATGTTGTGGTGAACTCAAAGGAGAATTAATGGGTGAGCTTTTGGGTGTCATATCAACTGTTGGTCGTACTTCTTCCTGGTTTTGTGATAATGTGGAAGGTGATTTTGCCTCTGCCGTTGTAGATTGTGGTGGATGTGGAAACGTCAATATACTTTGTCTACTGTGATTGCTTACATCATCATCAGCCCCATCAGTTTCCCTGCATTTCATATCATCATTATCACTCTGATGCCCATGATCATAATGATCACCATTTAATTTTGGTGTTTGAGATTGTTTGCTTTCTTCTCCATTATCTACAATTTCTTCTTGCACATCTTCTCCGTCATGATGATGTTCATTGGTAAGATAGGAGGCATTATCAAAAGAACTCCAACTCTTTGTTGTTTTCATGTCTTCTTTATCTAGTGAAGAATTTATGTTGTCATTCGATTGGGAATTTTCATTAACAAATGCTACATTTGTAGGTGATGGTGGTGGTGGCGGGGATTTTGTTGTTGTTGTATCCTCTTCATTTGCTATACTCTCGTCGGGTTCTCCTCCAATTGTTGGCATTTGTTCCTCCTGTCCATGGCCTTCTTCTTCAACATTTTCTATACATGGATTTGTTGTAGCTGCTGCTGTTGTTGATTGATTGCTTAAATGTTCATCTTCTTCCATAGATGAGGTTTGGGGAACATTTCTCAAGGGAGTATTCGAAGCGCTTTCCTGATCATCCTCTCTTAGGGGAGACGCTTGTTTTTCTTTACCATCATCATCTCGGCTGTTTTCTTCAATTGTGCGTATGACTTGTTGTGCAGGTAAGCTAACATCATCCTCTTCCATTGTTTTTGAGCGTTTACTCGGTTGACTTTCTTGACTTTCATCATCATCTATATCAAATTGATAAAGAATACGATGATTTGGATTGTCTTTATTTTCTCGTTTAGATGTTCTTTCACTTCCATGTGGAATTTCTACTCGATTAACCTCTTCTTCTCTTATTACCACATCCTCTGCTTGCTTAACTGGGTCATCTTCATTTGTTTCTAAATGATCCTTTTGTTGCCCTTCTGGCTCATCTTCAATAACTTGGGTGGTTGTACCAACTTCCATGGGAGTTGTTGCTAAAGGAGTGGGAGTTTGTTTCCTTTCTCCTTCGTCTTCTTCATCATCACTTTTTAATAATTCATCTTCTTGTTCCATTGAAACATAGTGTGCACTGGATTTTCCTCTTCTTGATGCACACGAAGTATTATTATCCTTTGTATCCCCTTCATCTTCATCTGATTTCAATAGTTCATCTTCTTCTTCATCAGTATATTGACAATTTGGAATTTCATTTGTGGTTTTCTTTTCACATGGCTGATCATGATCTTCATTTATGTCCATTGTTTGCTCTTGTGGTTCTTGTTGCTCCACCATCTGATGTGTTTCTTCATGTGTTGTTGCTTTCTGTTCCTCCTTATCTTGCTCTCCTTGGCATATATCCATTGATTCAGATTCTGACTGATCTTCATGATCTTTATTTACTTTAGTTGCATCCACCTCCTCTTGTTGTTGTGGTTCTTGTTTCACCTCTATTTCTTGGGGTATATTTTCTTCCTCCTTCGTCTCCACCTCTTTATTTTCATCTTGCAATTCTGTTGATTGTGGTGATGTTGTTTTTGTTTGTTGTCCTGTGATTTCTCCATCGCTTGATGATTTTGCATTCTGGGATTCTTGAGCATTTTGTTCTTCTTCTTTTACAATTTTAACATTGCCTTCTAGCTCTCCATCATTGTTGGAGGACTCTTCTGTTGAATTTTGTGTATTTGAATATGAATCTTCAGTTTCTACATCGTCTATGGCTTGATGTTGTGGTGAATTTTCGATTGGTGTAGAATCTAAATTGCTATCTGTAACATGTGTCGTCGTATCTGGTTGTGGTGGATTAAGAGTTTCCATAATTTTTTGGCTGTGTACTGAAAAAAAAGAGTAGAATGATTATTAGTGTTACATAAAAAACAGAGAAATAGGGGGAGTATTCAAAAATGTGTAAACAAAAAAAGTTCAGGTAATGGATGACAGTTTTACAAATAAGAAACGGTGGGAGTTTCGATATAGAAGATCGGAACATCAACAAAAGGACGTACATTTATAAAAAAACGCAAGATTTATTGGAGATTGGAGATATCTTTAATTTTTGCTGATGATAATACCAAAAATGTAATGATGATCATCATCATGTGCACCGGAGTTATAATGATATTATGGAATACCAGGAAGCTGATGAAGATGATGATGCAAGCACTCGCAGTCGATAATGTATATTAAAATCACTATCTCCACCACAATTTTGAAAGGAAGAGGCAAGTTATCCTTAAAGTCTATCCCAAAATGAAAAAGATACGAGAATCGCGAATTTCCCATTGAAAAACAAACTGGCGAAGTAACAGCCAAGACTTCACGAATAAATTCACCTTGGGTTCTTCACGAAATTAAAAAAATGCTAGTGATTATCATAAGTAAATATCCATATCATTAATAATAATGAATATATCCCTCAAAACAAATCCCATTCCTCTTCTTCACTACATTTTCCACAAAGTGAGGAGGACCAAATTGATTTTCATAATGAACACAGTCAAGAAGAACACTCCATTAGCTTCTAGAAACGGAACTTCTTCATCAGACATGAGTGATTCTTCAGACCATGATGGGGGTGATGACTCTTCATTGCCACGAATTTATTTTCATAACGAAAACAGTCAAGAAGAATCATCTCAATTTCCAGCAACCGAACCCCAACATCAATGTGATAACAATCGCATGAGTGTTTCTTCAGATGATGATTCGGAATATGAAGCCAATTTAAAAATCAAATAGGGAACAATTATTTTTGAGAGGACAAATGGAACAAAGTCCATCTGCTCACTTATTTAGGCACCACCAACCACATTGCCCATCTCCTTCACACATACCTCAGGGTACCACTGATCCCGATGATGATGTCAGTCGTGCTTCAATATTTAACATTATCACTGTAACTGTTTATTGATCATCCCATGGATGAAACAGCCAAGGAGGAGAAACTTAAGCCACTTAAAATGTGTCTCAAATGTAAACTATCCCGCAGCAGTGATGACGGTGGTGATTATTCTCTAGACCCTAAACAAAAGCAATTACATTTAAATGAACAGAAAATGCTAATATAAGTGAGAGATTTGAAGCAAATGGCAGTCCTGTGAAATCTCCTTACCACGATAGACAAAAAGGAGTTGTGGCATATAATTTTAATGTGGCAATAAAAAACGAAATAAATGAACAAAAAGAACCTTTGCCCAGCTTGCATTTAAATCCCTGCCCAATGTTAGCAATTAATCAGTGTATACAACAGGCATTTCTCAGGCCACCACTCCTATGGATGTAACATCCCATCCTTGTTGTCTTCACAGGTTGTCCCTACCTTTTTGCCACCAATTTATTTGTTATAAACATCAGTGTCAATATCAGAGCCAAATCCTATTTCTATAGATACTTGTAAACCGCTTTCGGCTATGCTCATGACACCAACAACAAAATATATTCGTTTCAAATGTAAACTTGGGAGCTATGATTCTCTAGCAGCTTTAATCGAACATCAAGTAATGTTCGGTTGAAGCTGCTATTTGCTCCACCGTCAGTTGCAATAATTATAACTCCACCACTTGCAGAATGTACACCTCCCAATACTACCATGGGCTTAGCCCTTGAATCAACTAAGCCAACAATCATCCTCCTGCAATTTCGGAGAGTGAGAGGCTCCTACCTAGGCAAACCCGTCCGGATACAGCACTTGCAGAATGCACACCTCCCAGCAAAGCCCTATCGACACACATCATTTATTCAATTGTCCGTCCGAGCCTACGAGTCTATTGCCTATAGTCTTATGACTAAAGCCAATAGAGGTGGCACAATTTCTTCAAATCCGAATTCCTAATAATTAATTAGGGTCAGTTCCGTTTGGCCAAAGAATATTATTATTTTTGGGTAGTTTATCCTTTACTAGGTTAAGCATTACATATGCATATGTAATTAATCTTTAATAGGCCTGAAGGTTTTGAGTTATAAGTGGATAAAATGGGCCTAAAATATTATTTTTGTCTATTTTCTAGTCGCTCTAAATGCCACAGTTATAAGCCGAACATCACAAATTTTCCACGGGATTGTGATTTGACCTTCTAACTAAATCAAAATACAGTTTCGACAGTGATCGGTCAATATTCAGCGACAACTTGTGCTTCTTATGGCGTAAATGTTCACTTTGAGAAAAATGATCTGGAACAGTAATCAATGTACAAAAGAGACCTTTAATATAATACCAATTCTACTGACGGACGAAGCCGGATATGGGAGAAATACTGAAAATATGTTTAAGTATTGGTTAGGCTTAGCAATATCACACTAGGAGATGCCAATATCGGAATATATATTCCCATAAAGTTAAGATTTAGTTATAGCCGTATAAGGTATCATATGGTCTGCCCGACTATACTGCACCACACACTGGTTTATAGTGATAGAAGTTGTTTGAAACAAAAACAATCAAAATGTCCCCTTGTTCTACTTCAATCTAATATTCCCATTCCAGAACTAATTTATATTCATTCATTGAAAATAAAAACATCAACCGGTTTTCAAATCACTACAATAAATAATATTGCTAATGATATTTTAATCATATGGAATAAAATTAACACACATATTATTTATGTGAATATGGACTACTACTCTCTATAAATAACAATACCCTAAAAGAAGCTACCTTGGAAACGTAATGAACCCTAATCGAAAAAAACATAGAATCGTAAGAGTAAATAACTGGTAAATGAAAAACAAACTACAGTGGTTATAAGGAAGTCTCTTGTCTCCAAAATCAGATAGGCCAAACTGCGTGGTGTATGAGTCATACATATGTTGGTAGTTATTTGTACATAGGTTTCCAACGTATCCACCATATGTAGTTTGGGGGAGCTCTGATACATTTCCTCACCAATTATTTTAATTGCCATAGACTTTAAGTATTTTACAACACGAATATTTGTTAATGTTAATGTTTTTTTCATATAGCCATTATTTCTGTTATTGTTTGGCTTTAAGATACAACGTTTAATGCGAACAATACAAAATAACTATCGCTTTTTTTGGCCAAAAAGCACATGTTTTAGTGTACAAAACGGGAGCAGGCAAGTGAGAGAAAGAGAGAGAGACAAATTATGTTTTGTATCCGACAAAACTTTAAAGCCGCCACCAAACAAATTGTTTGTTGTTTGTCTAAACGCAAAAAAAAACGAAAGAAAATGCGGAAAACTGAATAAGCAAAATGTAAACAATAACAAAAACAAAATGTAAAAACAAAAACGACGACGACATTGCTGCTTCATTGTCTTTGCAGCCTTTGTGGTATCCACTCACTCACTCAAACAACGAACAAAACACCACATGTTTTTTCACATTTTGTTTTCTACTCTATTTCTACATAAAAAAGCAACGACCACAAAACCAACCAACACACACCCGCCACTCACAAACCAAGAAAAAACTTAAATGACACCAAACATACAAAGAGGTATTACCCAGCAAACAAAACAAGTGCAAAACATTTTTTAATGGAAATTCTAATTAGTTAAAGTCAAGGTCTATATAATATATCATCCAGTAAGGCCAGCTGGTATCTACATTTTGACGATCTGACATTATAATATGGATGACTTTTCACAGAAACCGTTGTCCTGAAAGGAAGGTTATAGTTGAATGTTTACTATCGAAGCGACTGAATAGAAATTTTGTAACTCAAGAACTACTGCACCGATTTTGACCAAACTTTGTGTATATCCTCTATGGGGCGTAAGGAGTGTTTCTGTTTAATTTTAAGTTCATCCGAGAGATGGCGCGCTATATAGCATCTTTGTGTTAACCGGATAGAGATTGGATGGTTAAACGACGTGTGCCGACGTTCAGTATTCCGACACCGATTCATACATAATCTGTTTTCGTGGAAAGCGCGTGGGAGTCTAACGAAAAAATAATAACTTATCAAATTAAAGTAGAATTCATTGAAATCTATTTTAAAATATGAAGTAAAGAGGTATAGTAACTCATCAATTTAGAACGGCGGGAACGATTTGACTTAAAATTTCTTTCAGTTATCTGTAATAGAAATGGGAAGGTCTTTATGAACAAAATTTTGAGAAAATTTCGCGAAAATCTTGAAAAACTTATTTTGAAGGACGGCTGGACCGATTTGCCTACCATTATGTGGGACATATACCATAAAGTGATACTATAACGACAATTTATATTATTTTTTTATGTCCATATACACATAAAAAAAGATAATATAACGATGAATAAAAAATCGAATTTTGAATCAAAATGATAAATGAGAGACTTGAAAATCGAGATGGACCTATGGTTCCTTTACCAAAGTTGCTTAAAATTGTCCATAGAATCATCCTAGGAATTTAATAGACAAAAAAATACATACTTTGTTATGTCTTTCATGATGTGTCATGGCACATTTTCCTTCGGTTGTTTTTGATTGCAGTGGGAAGAGTTTTACCAAAGAAAACTTTAAGAAAAACTTAAAAAAGTCGGAGATTGGAGTAATCAAATGATGCGTTACTTACACCTCTTATACCTCAAGAACATCTGCGCCAATTGTGATGATTCAAAGGAGTTATAAATCGTATGTGATCAAAATAGGAATAGTAATTACGCCATCAATACTAAATTATCTTTTGAGGTAAGAGTAGTTAAA